AGAGTTCAACTGTGCAAAAACCATACGAGCACATGTTTACATGTACAATGTATAGTAATATGATGGGTTTCCAATCTGTCCTTAGCTTCAAGTTGAACCATAAACAAATTATTTATGCGCAGAAGGCAGAAGGCAGAAGCATTGAGATAAAATAAATAAAAGAGAGACAAAAACAAGATTCCCTGATCCCTTCTGCGCATTTTGTCTGAGTGCATAGACTTTCCCAATTATCAAGCAGACCCCCCACCACCATTGAGTCTGCAGACACTATACCCTACCTTATTCATATAATTTGTATGAGGTGCATCATTTAATTTAATTTATTTCCCCATAAATCAGCATCGTTTACTGTCAATTACACTGCGTTTATAATACTCTTATTTAAACAAGTAGTTTCTAATTAATCATGAAAACGGCGGGCGCACAGGATTTGCCCGGTTCATTGTTCTATCCTCGAAAGGGGTAAAATGAGAAGAGAGATGCAGAGAATGACAATGAAACAAAGATATGAAAGGTTTTCAAGAAGTAGGCACCTACGTTTAGTTTGCGTGGGATGAATTGCAAAACCAATTGTCTCAATTCCTACAAGACTATTGGATTGGTTTCCTTTCCCGCATATTTTATAATTTTGAGAAGTAAAGGGGTTTATTAGAAAATAGTCATGTGCTTGCTTAAACTTGCAGAAAAGCGAAACTGTGAAGTCCATGTCAAGGCAAAACCAACAGTGATATTAGGTGATGGGACTAAACTTCGATTTTGCTCTCTCCCTCTCTCTCTCTCTGCTTGGGAAACTTCCACAAATCGACAAATCGTTTACATATTTGTATGTATGGATGCTTTTTCTTAAAGTAATTGAGCATGATTATATCCCTGTTAACATTTTTTCCTCTTTTTAACAAAACGTATACAATTTGTTAAAAGCACGGATTTGTCTTGTTTCCTGACTTGGTAAGTACACTTTCTTTTGTTTATTATCATAATATTTAACTCCAAAAATCATCTAATTAACCACTAATATCTATTTCCGAAAGTCAGGAGAGTGGTTGAACTTGAACATGGAGTGTCTTTGGATCAACAGGTCAGAAGAGAACCAGTCAGGCCCTGTTAGCATGAAAAACTACAGTAACATAGTCACGTGGCACATCTTATACACGTGTTATAATATGAATGGATGATAGAGTTTATTTTTCCCCATTCTAAGAAATTGAATCAATAAATTTTCACTTATATTATAATACGTGTACAAAATGTACCACGTGTCCTTACTATGCTTCTTCGTCCGAGTTAAGTAACTTCACCTAATAGCTAACTCCAATAATTATCAACTTCACCTAATAGCAAAAGCTAACCAAACCGAAACAGGAATATGAACAAAAAAACCCATGTAATGTGATGGTAGTTTCTGGCTCCGCCAGCTAGGGCTGAAGAAGGGCTAGCTAGTAATTTAATTAGGCCGTCACAAAAGTCCATTTTTTCTCAACGCAATCTATGCTAATGATGGAAAAAAACAAAAGCACTGCCAAAATTGAAGCGTATAAAGCTGATATTGGACAAGGACAAGCTATGGAAGAGAAGAAGATGAGGGAGACATAGACTGAGTTAGAGTTGTTTTGATGTGATTTCAAACAACAACAAAATAAAACTACCGACTTCTTGGGTTCTTCTCCATCCCATCACCGCCGATCCACTCAAATATTACATTTACTGCTAATAATTAAAATATTATACAGCCAAGCCAACAATATTATTTTTATTTTATTTTATTTTATTTCAGACGCACCGTGAAATCTCACAGACGCCAGCTGTGAACTCCGGTAATTCTCTGCGGTCACCCCCACCGGGAGATGGCATGAGGCTGACGAGAAGATCAGCAAAAGCGCCAATGATGAACTTGTGGGTGCTCTTAGGGTTGAGCGCAAGATAGCACAGCAGAAGCTCATGCAAGAATTCCCAGTTTGATTTCTTCTTCTCGCCCTCTTCCTCCTCCTCGTTGTTCATTCCCTCCCGCGCCTCCACCATCTCCTGCATTGACCGCCTAAAGTCCCGGTAAGGGTCCGGCGAAAAAGTGGGGACCGCCACGCTGTGGTTGACGAGCTTGTGGTTGGGGGACTCTGACGAGGCGGCAATGGACGACGGCGACGATGCGGATTGGTCGACGATGGAGTTGGAGCGGCCTGGGGAGGAGAAGAAGAAGCGGCGGGAGGCGAAGGCGGTGGCGAAGTCTGCGGCGGGGGCGTCGGTGTCGGTTTCGGAGGAGGAGACGGAGGAGCTGAGGGATTTGGAGGTGGTGGTGGAGTCAAACATGTACTGGTCGTCGTAGAGGGAGTTGAAGTTTTTTATCATCAATGAGGTTGATGACGTGGATGTGGTGGCGGTAGCGCCGTCGGCGGCGGTGGTGGGTAATGGACGGCTGTGATCGTTGTCTGGGGATTGGAGAGTGAGTGGCCGTGTGATCTTTGTGAAGCAGAGGTTTAGGTTTCTTCCTAGTGTGTTTGGCATTTCTGTTGTTGGTGTTAGAAAGAGTGGGAGATTAGAAGGGAGAAGAGATATGAGAGAGAGAGAGAGAGAGAGTCTGTGTGTGAGCAGTGTGTTTAGTCATATATGGAGATATATATAGTTGGTTAAAGTAGCAAACTCGTAGTTTCTGAGAAATTTGAGTCATCACTTGTACTTGCAAATAATTTATGATCGTATAGTATTAGTAAATATTTACTCATGCTAATGTTCATGGTGGAATGTAGAAAAAGTAATAACGTCACGTAACGGTGTTACAGTAACACACAATTTCTCATAGTTCTGATTAAATTGAAGTAAGGTGCATAAATAAACTCAGGTGAGCCTTCACATCATGGCATGGGAAAAATTATCTGTTTCAAGTTGAAGATAACTCAAAGATAACAGTACAGTATAACATACATATATACGCATACAGATTTTTGTTACTTTTCCTCCTTTTGTATGCAATGACAGTTTTCTAGACTGTCACTATTGAAATTTAAAGAAGACAGTGATGGATCGAACAGTTTAGATTATCTTATCACTTTATAGATCTTCCAATTAGGACCATTCACGTATTTGGTCCCACAATTATGTAATAATTTTATACATATGCTTTTATTATATGTATTTTCCGAACTCGTTCATTAAAAAAGGTTCTTCGCCTGGCAGATGAGTGACCTTCTCAAGTTCGAATTCTCGTATATATAGAACCTTAGTAGGGTGTGTAGAAACCTCTTGCTTTGTATTTTTTTTAAAAAAGTATATTCTGAACTAAATATCCATCCAATTTTCATGAGGTAAATTTGCTCATACTCAAACTTGAAACTTGTGAACTCAATTGTGAAGAAAATAGTTAGTGAACGTGAGGATTTGGAGGGAAAATGGGTAGGTACGAAGGTACATATAGGTTCCAACCAAATCACAAAATTGGGCAGACCATGCACATGGGGTAGTGGTGGGGTGGTGACCCCTTGGCCTGGCCACAGACACGGAGCCAAGCCAACTAACATTTTTTCCGTCAATTCATTCATATTCATGGAATGCGTCCCAAACCAAAACCCAATTAATCCACCATTTTTTGGGTACCCTACCCATCATATTCATAAACACATCCACTCCATTTTGGAAACAAGAAAAAGCACCCTATCTCTATCCACCACATGTCCAATCCATCAATAAATTATTTATTTCCTTCTTCATTGGCAGAAGAAGCTAGGAGCTAAGCTAGCTCCATGGCTAACTAAGAATATTCATTTTAACATCCATCCATGCACGATGCGAAGACAAAACACAAAAGTTTGTCTAAAAAGAAATAGGCTGCCAGAAAAACAAAACCAGTGTATTGAACGATCAACATCACCTGAAAAAACTGAAAAAGCTTTGGAGACTTTTGGCAACATTGTTTGTTAATCAATCTCTTTCAAGTGTTCATTTTCTTATTATAATATTTATTTTCCATCAAAATGCACGCATATATCTCATTTTCTGTCAAATTTTTTGAGTTTCGTGTTGGGATGATTGAGTTAATGTGTACACACTCAGTTTGGCAACCAAAGCACAGCTGATTTCAAGATTTTGATGAGAGAGAGAGAGAGAGAGAGAGAGAGAGAGAGAGAGAGAGAGACTGAGAGTAGGTAGCTAGTTGCTTAAGTGTTTCACACTCAGTTTTCAGTACGATCGGCTCTCAAGCCCTACACACAGCACAACCCCTGTTTCCTTGAAACTTGAAAGGTTGAAAAAAAAACAGGTGTTCTTTCTCATCTTTTGGTCATTGGGATATCATTTGTTAATGGACTTGCAAGGAAACCAGAGACTGAATAAATAAATAAATAAAATAAGCCTATCATGGCCACGAGCCCATCAATTATTTATAGAGGAAGTCTTCCACTGACTTGTCGATCGTGTGGGGTAAGGAGGGAGGGAAGCACAAGAAGATAACAAACCATGCAAATTAGCAATGCAACTCAGAGTCAGAGGAGAGGTTCTTCAATCTTCAGCATATGAGATCTTAGATCCTCCTAGCTGGTTCTCTTGCTGGAAAATGTAGACATACATAAACTGGCAGCCAACCAAGGCATATGTATGTAACAGTTATCAAGAAACTTCCCCCAAATCAAAAGTACTTATGATTCTCCTAAATTAATAATTATTTGGTTCTATTTTAAAAGATTCATATCTTGATTGATCCCTGCCACAACCCAACTGCACGGATCAGTCTTCTGGCACTAAGATACATAATTTAGACATGATAACTCTGATTTTCAAGAAATCTTGTAAAACTTATGTTCCCTTAGTGTATGATTTTTTAAGGGAATGGGGTAGTATTATATGAGTTGTTTTCTCTTACGTGAGTTGAACCCGGATACATATAGTATTACCAATGGTAAGCCCTTTGGTCTTGAGGTTTGTTTGGGGCCTATCTGTTGTTGTTAAGGCCTATTGATTCTTTGTAAACCCAATTAACATGATTTTTACCATAATAGTTGATGAGACAATGAGTCTTTGTTAAAGAGGTGTATTGAGTATTTCAATCCGACTGTCTAATAATAATTTTACAATTGATGCGGGGTTATAGCGAGAACATTTGCGAACCCAAACTACATATGGAAACATGTTTATACTTTAAACGAAACATTTGAGTTGCATGATTGACTAAGACAACTCCTTTAAAAGCAAAATATAAGTCTACATTATTGTAGCAACTTGTAGCACTAACAAAAAATAACAACACCTTAAGAAGCTCCAAGCTTACAACCCCAAAATTAACCATGCATGCGTACGTATATATCTAGACTTGTAAGTTTATTCTCCAGTGTTCTGGTTAAGCCTCGCGGCTGCAGCCATCGATTCAGCCACTCCACCATGAGTGGTGCTCATAGTGGGGCTAGGATGCCAACTCCCTTTAAACATTGAAAACGTCGCCGTACTTGAGGGGTTCCTGACCGGGGGGGCTGGTCAGGTCGTTGTTTCGGTGGCTGTTCCTGGCTCATGTTTGATCTCAAATTTCAGAGATTAATTTTTCACAATGTGTTTTACGAGTATAAATTCTGTCAAATATGAAAAAGTCCAAAGCTTGTGAGTTGAAAGGTATGCCAAATATGAAAAAGTCCAAGCTTTTGTTCGCCAAGCAAACATATTCTCTTGTGCGTGAATGCAGCAACCAAAGAGCCTCAAGTGAATAATTTTGACGCAGGCTGCTATAGTTGCCCAGGCCTTTTAGCGAGCTTCTACACTAGTACATGTAACATCATTCATAGACTTAGCTCCTTCTGTACTGGTTGATGGGTTTCCAGCATCATAAGTTCTCTGTAACAAAAATGCAGGCTGTCTTGGTGAAGGAACTGCTGCATCATAATTCCCTAACATGAAAACAACTGCTGACATGGTTGGCCGGTCAGTGGCGTAGTCTTGCACACATGAGAGTGCAATTTTGATGGATCTCACAACTTCATTGACAGGGTACAATTCACCCAGGGATGGATCGACGATTTCCAAGACTTTACCTTCTCTCCACAAGTTCCAAACCTAAAAACGATTTTAGATAATCAAAGTTAGCATAAATAAGTAGGGGAAAAACTACATTGTTTTCCACATAGCCAGTAAACTTACATGTCCAGCCAAATTAATTGCGTCAGGATACTTGTCATGGCAATAACCAGAATTTTTTCTGCCAGTAACAATTTCTAGGAGTATAATTCCGAAAGCATATACATCAGATTTCACTGAAAAATGTCCTTTCATTGCGTATTCTGGTGACATATAACCACTGAAACATAAAGAAAAGTGATTACGAAAGCATAGATTCACTGATCTACATAATATGTTGAAATTAGCCTATGAATTGTATGCTCTTGTGATGAAAGCATAGATTCACTGATCTACATAATATGTTGAAATTAGCCTATGAATTGTATGCTATGCTCTTGTGACATGCACTATGAAGTATTCCATCAGTTGGAGGTTTTGTGAATCTAGAAACTATTGTGATATCTTATACATTTGGAGAAAATTTTAACTTACTATGTTCCAACCACACGATTTGTATCCGCTTCACTTTGGTCTCCTCTAAATATTCTAGCCATACCAAAATCTGAAATTTTGGGGTTCATAGAAGCATCCAGTAGAACATTACTGGCCTTTAGATCTCTATGGATAATCCTTAACCTTGAATCTTGATGAAGAAGAGAGATAATTAAAGGAGCAACCATCACGTGGTTAGGTTGTTGAAAAAGGAGAAAAAAGAAAAAAGAAAAAAATATAAAACAAATGAGAGACCCACCGAAAAAGAAATAGGAGTTGGGTACCGAAAAGAAATGGGGGAGTTGGGTAGTGGAGAGTGAATAAATAGAGACAGCGTGAGAAAAATAAAGAAAGAGAAATAGAAGGTAAAGACAAAACATGACCATAAAGAAAAAGGAAGAAAGAAAAATTGTACCTGACAAGAAAGTTGTGTCTGATAAGAAAATTGAAGGAAAACTTTGTGTCTGATAAGAAAATTGAAGGAAAACTTTGTAAAAGGGTGCTCAAGTGAGCAAAGAGAAACATAAAAGGGTTTTCGTGGGGTTCACATGTGGGTTTTCGTGGGTGATGAGCTTGAGAAGGGGACTGAGTTTGAGGAAGAAATGGTGAGATATTTGAGATGGAGAGAGAGATGATGTTGTGTAAGGCTGTGTTGTCAGTTTCTTCGGCTTTTCTATGAAGTACGGAAGTCGACAGATCGGATTGGACGGGATAACTTTGAATGAATTGGATTTAGGCTGGTATGGTATGGGATTGCAGATGCCAGACGGGCCTGGAAACTTAATTGGAAGCTTGACTTGGGATGTGATACCAAGTCTGTAACACAGAGGAAGAAATCACGGCAGATACGGCTCAGCGAGCATTGACGAGGCTCGCGCAGGAAAGGGAGACAGCTCAGTGAGCGATAACAAGGCTTACGGAGGAAAGAGATCATGATGATCAAGGTACGTACTGCCCGTAGGAAACAAATCAGGCCATGGCTGGGGGACTTATTGCCCATACAGATAAAACAGAGGAAATTTAACAGAAACAAGGTAAAGACATTTTTTAAATTTTTTTTTTTTCTTTTAAAATACTAATAGGGAAAGAAAATGAGGAAAAATGCAATGATAAAAGAATCTGTGTAAACGGCTTAAGGTAGAAAGAAAAATATGTTGATTATAGAGGAAAAGAGAAACAAGAGAATTTACAGCAACATGAAGAAACGCCAACAACTCTCAGAGCATCCACAGTGGGGGGTGTAAATTCGGGGGTGTAAAGCCACTTTTACATCTCCTTTACACCTCCGGGGGGTGTAAATATGTTTTTTGGTTGTATTTCTATGATCAGACTAAAGTGTGATTCATCTCTGGAAAGCAGAATTTCTTGACGTGAGTGATATCAGTGCAGAAATTAGGTGACAATTTGACAAATGAATAGTGAAAAGAAAATAAATTTGTATAAGATATTCACCTTTTCTTTTCCTCCTTACCAACCAATAAGAAATGGGAACTACAAGAAGAAGGAACACCAGAACAGAAACTAGAGAAATTGCCAGCTTTCCCTTCTTGCTAAGTGAACCATTTGACTTTGCATATTGAGCTTCAAGGGTAAAAAAAACACAAATAAAATCTAGCAAAATTTGAGATTAGTAAGATGGTGGAATTTTTT